GCGTGGGCCACGGTGCCCAGCTAGAAATGTTTTTTGAGCTACATTATTACACACTGAGTGCTGTCTTTTGACTAGACTCTGGGTTAGAATATAAAGCTAGAGAAAAATTAAACAACAACTTAAGAATAGATTTAACTCAGAAGGTGAGATCTGTACACTGAAAATGGTAAGACAGTGATGAAAGAAATTTAAGGTGACACAAGTAAGTGAAAAGATATCCCATGTTCATGGATTGGAAGAATATTGTTAAAATGTCCATCTAAAAATTCACTGCAATACTATCAACATTACAATGACATCTTCCACAGAAATAGAAAAGTAATCCTAAAATTTGGAACCCCAAATTCCCCCCAAATAGCCAAAGCAATCTGTGCAAAAAGAACAAACCTAGAGGCATCACATTACCTGATGTAAAATCTACTTCAAATCTATTATTAAAAAAACAGCATGGTACTGACATAAAACAGATACATAGATAATGGAACAGAATAGAAGATCCAGAAATAAGTCCACACATTTATAGCTTACTGATTTTCAACAAAGATGCCTAGAACACAGAATCTCAGTCACACAAGAAGAGTCTCTTCAATAAATGGTGTTGGAAAAACTGTATATATATATTTTAATAGCTTTATTTTATTTATTTATTTTTATGTGGTGCTGAGGATYGAACCCAGGGCCTCGCATGTGCGAGGCGAGTGCTCTACCACTGCGTCACAACACAGCTCCCAGAAAACCTGTATATTGATATACAGAAGAATAAAATTAGATCCTGGTCTCATATTACATATAAAAATCAACTCAAATGGTTTAAAGACTTATACTTAAGACCTGAAACTATAAAACCACTAAGTGAAAACACAGAAGAGGGGCTGGGGTTGTGGTTCCATGGCAGAGCCCTGGCCTTGCACATGTGAGGCACCGGGTTCAATTCTCAACACCACATGAAAATAAAATAAACAAAATAAAGATATTGTGTCCATGTATAACTAAAAAAAAAAAAAAATTTAAAAAGAAAAAGAAAATTTAGGGGAAAAAAATCTCCATGACTTGGTCTGGGCAATAATGATTTTGAATAGGAACTTAAAAGTATAGGTAACTAAAGCAAAAATAGACAACAGGATCTTCCAAACCTAAAAGGTCTGCACAGTAAAAGAAACAATTACCAAAGTGAAGAGACAATCTACAGATTGAGAAAATATTTGCAAACCACACATCTGATATGGGGCTAATATTACATAAGGAACAATTCATTGGTAAGAAGACAACCTCATTATAAAATAGGTAAAGGATCTGAATTAGACACTTTTCAAAAGAAGATATGCAAATGACCAACAGGTACATAAAAAATGCTCAACATCATTAGTCATCAGGGAAATGAAAATCAAAACCACAATGAGATCTCACCTCAGATCTGTCAGGCTGCCTATCATCAAAAAGACAAACTGTAAGTGCTGGAAAGGATGTGGAGAAAAGGAAACCCTTGTGCACTGCTGGTGGGAAAGTAAATGACCAGAGCCATTATGGAAAACAGTGTGGAGGTTCCTCCCAAATTAAAAACAGAGGTACCATGTGATGTGGCAAACCCACTACCCAATATATATCCAAAGGAGACTAAACTGATATGTCAAAGAGACATCTTCAGTCTCGTGTTCATTGCAACATTATTCATGACAGCCATGTTATGAACTCAACCTAAGTTTTCATTAAAGGATGAGAAGATACAGAAAATGTGAAATGAAATACCACTTAACCTTTAAATAGAAGGAGCCCTTATAATTTGTGACAACATGGATAAACCAAGGGGACATTATGTGTTAAGTGAAATAAACCAGACACAGAAAGACAATTATTGCATGATTTCACTTATACATGGAATCTAAAACAATAAAAACTCAAAACAGTAGGATGGGGCTATGTCTGTAGCTCAGTGGTAACATGCTTGCCTAGCACATGTGAGGCACTGGGTTGGATTCTCAGAACCATATAAAAATAAATAAATAAAATAAGGGTATTGTGTCCATCTACAACTAAAAAAAAAAAAAAAAAAAAAAAGAGTAGAATAGTGGTTGCCAGAGCCTGGGAGTGGGAAGATTAGGGAAATGTTGATTAAAGGTCACAAAATTTCAATTTGACAGTAGGGATAGGCTAATGAGAGCTATTGTACATTGTGGTGATTATAGTTATTAACAATACGTTGTATATTTAAAAATTGCCAAGAGTAGATTTCCAGTATTCTTACTACAAAACTTCATAAGAGTGTGAGGCGATGCATATATTAGCTTGATTTAGCCATTCCACGATATATATATATATATAGATATAGATATAGATATGCACATATACATATATATATATACACATACACATCATCTTATATACCATAAATATAAGCAAATTTTACTGGTCAATAATAATAATAATAATAATAATAGACCAGTAAGACTTGCTTTTCTGTTCCTACATACCTGAGATGCATTGCATTTGTTACAGACTAAAATCCATATGGTGAAATTCCAACTTCCAGCACATCTGAATGAAACCATGTCTGAGAATAAGATCTTTAAAGAGATGATTAAGTTAAAATGAAACCATTAAGGTGGGGTCCTAATCCAATATGATTAGCGTCCTTTTAAGAGAGGAAGAGACACCAAGGGTGTGTGTAAACAGAGGGACAACATAAAGACAAAGCCCAAGAGGATGACCCTGAATAGATGCCTCAGAGAAACCAACTCTTCCACACCTTGGACCTAGACTCCACCTTGATTTTGGATTTCCAGCACTTGATCTTGAATTTGTAACTCAAAAGTTCTAGTTTTAGAACTGTGAGAAGATAAATTTCTGTTAAGTCCCTCAGACTATGCCTTTTTGTTATAGAAGCCCTTGCAAACCCCTTCATTAATAAACTCAATCATCATGCTGTACGCCAGGCACTAAGTTCTTTATAAACATTTAAACATTCAAACACCTTTCTACCAGTGTCAGTGAACTATGATGGCTCCATTTCTGAAGAGCGAGGAAGGAAGAAGAGTATCTCCTCCTCAAAGAACAACTCACAACTGTAGAGTTGGGGAAAGTATCCTTCTTAAGAGACAGGTATCAAGACGTGAAGATGGTGTTTAATAACAATAGTAAAATCTTAGCCAGCATTAACTGAACACTTATTGTACATAGTGAGTGTCAGGCATATTATAAGAATTCTTTCTCATTTTCCCCCACAGCAACCTTAAAAGGTAGGAATAGTTCATTCCCTTTATTTACAGAGTTTGGGAAGGGCAAGCTTCAGTCAGTACAGAGAATCAGGATTAAGACCCAGATGGGTCTGATTTCAGTATCCTGCACATTGCCTAAGGAAGTGGCTGGGGACAGGTGGTGGGTTTTGAATGGGAGCATGAATTTGTCCTTGATGGAGGAGGTCATTGGAAGCAGCAATCTTTGAAAAGAAAAGGGAGTAGGGAGAATTTAAGAGTCTTAATTTAGCTTCTCTTATAGGCCAGGCATTAAGCTTTGAACTTAGAACAAACAGTTCTGAGAAACAAAAATTCTTGTATTTTTTTGTTATGGACATCAAAACTGAACTTCAGGGAAGCTAAAAGATCTGACCAAGGCTTAAGGAAGTGGTGGAACTGGAGTGACTGACATGGGAGGCTCCTAATCCTGCATCTGCCCAACTCCTCTGCACCCGMATTTCTGACTGCCAAAGAATGCATGAAGGCCTCCAAGCTCTGAACGGGCAAGTTATATGTCACACCAGTCTTTACCAAGATGCAGCCTCAAACATGACCAGAGCAACCCTGCCCAAGAATGTTTCAAGGGGCCTCAGTTTTCTATGATGTTCCACGGAAAAAGTCTGATGGTCAATAAAGTTTGCAAGTGCTGCCCATTATCCTTGTCTTGCCTCAGAAATGCAGTGCACAGCAGCAGATTCTAAAGGTGTTGAGAAGTTCTACAGTTAAAAAAAAAAATCTGTTTCCTTCATTTGGCTGAAGATTTCCTCAATTTATTTGGACCACATTGGTCAGTTAATATACTGTGCAGCACCCTTTTAGAGATACTGCAATGCAATGTAGGACTAAACACAGGGGAAAGAAAGGCAGGCTGGGGCTACTTTCTGAAACTAACCAAAATGCAGACTTTTTTTTTTTTATAACTTAAGAAGGATCAAACCCTTTGTTGTTTACATTTAGTTTGCTTTCTACTGAGAGAACAGTTGAAAAACAAAACAAAATAAAAAATAAATAAAAATGATAGGCAATAAATCAGAGGAGGGAAGGGCTATTTACATTCCCAAACCTCTTAGCTCATCCTGCACCTTCTATCTTCCAGGCCAACCCCACCCCAACCCCATTCCATTCTCCACCCTCTTGCCCCGGGGCTGTTCTCCAGCTAGACACAAGTAGTGGCCACCACAGCTTGCATGCCTCCTGCCCCTAACCCTTACAGCACAGACATGGTGACAGAGAGGCATCAAAGGTCTACCCAGGGCAACCTCAGCTGACAGATTTCAGGGAAACCCAAGAAGCTGCCCGAGTCAATCAACTCTCTGCCACTCCCATGGGGTGGGGGAGGAAGACTGCCAACATTTCCTTTCAAATTTATGGGTGCCGTGCTTCTTCTATTTCTCTTTCTGCTTGTTTTCTAAAATGAAGATGCAGCACTTGCAAGTTAAAGAACAGAAGGAGAAGGGACAGGAGGAGGAAGAAGAGGGAAAGATGAAGGAAGGGAGAGAACAAAAGGAGGGAAAGGGAGGAGGAGGAAGAGGAGGAGGAGGAGGGAGGAGGGGGGAGGAGGAGGAGGAGGGAGGAGGAGGAGGAGGAGGAGGAGGGCTGCGGCGGACACCTTCAGAGAATGCTCTGCAGGAGCTAGACTAGGAAAACCTACCAGCAGCGCCCCAGCCCGTCTGGTGTAAATTCTGAGCTGCAGGGTCCCCCCCTCCAGCCACCCCTTAACCAAAGCCACCCAGATGCTCGGGCACCAGGCGCCATGCACCCTCTCCTTACCCACTCGAAAGATCAAATCGTCCTCGATGGGGTTCTCTTTTCGCTTCCCGGTGCTGTACATGCTCGCAGGTCTTTTCACAGCTTTCTGCTTCACGTGGCCGCTCCCTGGGGACTTGACGCGCCGCTTCACGCCTTCGGTGGTGGGCGACACGTCGGCGGACCGGATCACCTTCAGCTTAAACGGGCTGCCTCGTATGTGCTGGTCGTAGAGTCTCAGGGACAGGGTGAAGTCTCCTTCCTTCTGGACCGTGTACAAAAATTCGTAGGTGCCGTTCTTGTTGTCCAGGATCTCCCCGTCCGCCACGCTGCCGTCGGGGGTGCTCAGTTCCGCCGTGAGGTAGGCATTGCCGGTTTTGCACAGCTCGCCGTCTTTGTCCTTGGTCGTTATGGTAACGGACATGGGCTGCCCGATGATGGTCTGCCGCAGCCCCTCGCCCGTGGCCACCGTCTCGGAGGCCACCGCGTTGGTGGTCAGAATGGTCCCGAGGTTGTGGATGGACTTCTTGAGCCCCTCGGTTTCCACGATGAAGTCCAGCTGRTCGTTTTCACGCGGGTGCAGGGGGAAATCTTGGTCGGCCAGTTCGTTCAGCTTCTCGCTCATCTGCTTCTTCACCAGCAGCACCTCCGTTTCCGTGCCATGGTTGAGGGCCTGCGCTGTGAAGTTGCTGCAGCTCTTGATGCTCTCCTGCCCCTGGAGCAGAGTATCCAGCTGCGACTGCAGCACCTGCCGGGAAACAGGGCTGGTGAGCTCTGTCTGTGGGACTCCTGCCAGGCACGCTGGGGCACTGCCCTCCTTCTGCAAGAACCTCCTCTACACCTGCCCACACAGAGCGAGCAGCCTTTTAACCCAGTGAACCCAGTTCTAATGCAAAATCCTAAATTGCATTCCCAATACCTTCTGGAGATTTCCCTTTGGCCTCCCCCTGCCTCATCACCCACCTATGTATGGCTCGGATCACGCCTTTAGATAACAGAAACCAAGAGCGTGGCAAACAAATTGCCACATTGGACACCTAAAATATGTATTATTTAGTATCTTTCCTGAATGTTCAAAACTCCCCCATTGCCTTGCAAAGGGACAGAAACCAAACAGATGAAAAGCCTCCACAACTGAACATCAGAAGCGTTTCCTCCCTGCTTTTGTGAACAGACATGCAGAGTTAAACAAAGAATGCAGGCAGGGTTCACTTTGAAGTTGACTAACAGGTTGGTGTGGATGAGACGGCAATTAAGGGACGATTCCACATTATAATTAAGGAAGGAAAACAATCCAGTTTAACCCTAAACCCTGAAAGAATTACATGATACTCAACCTCTCCTTCTGTCAAATTATAAATTGCTACTTAAGGTCACAGAATTAAACAGTTCTGTTGCAAACAGGAAAGGAAAAAACAAAAAAAGAAAGAAAGAAAAGCTAGATATTCTGTTGAATGAAAATTTAGTTACTATACAGTGGGGGACATTGATGGACCCATTTGGGTCCCCTTTGTTGCTGTCAGTGACACAGCCAGTGCTGTGAAGTGTCCAATACCACGTCTCTTTCAGAATATCTATGAGAACATGGAGTCTTACTTTGTGTTTGAGGCCATAGTTGACCTCCAGTTCCATCAGCAGCACGCTCTTTCGCACATTTAATGTCTTCTGGAGCTCATCGAAGGTGGAATGGATGTCATCCACGATGCTGGCCTTTTGGTTGGTTAACTGATGAATGATTTCTGAGATGAACTGAAGAGCAGAATCTATTTCTGGGAGCCTGGAGATGGTTGTTAAAGATTATTATTTAACATCACTCTGGAAGTGGTCCAAAGTCTCTCCAAACACTCTGTTCTGTCAAAACAACAAAATATTTTTCTATCCTTTCATCATCTTTAAAAAATAATAATGGAATAATGGAATGAATGAAAGTTTGAGGTTCCACATCTATTTCAATCTGTCTTCTAATTTTAATAATTGATGGTACCGAGACTTGAAGGTCAAAGAAAAAGAAAAAAAGACCTGAAGGCCTTTGAAAAGCAATTATGACCAGATAATTCTTTGTTCAGGGGATTGTTCTGGGCATTGCAGGATGTTTAATAGCATCATCCCAGATGGCAACAGCATCCCTCCACACAGTTGTGATAGCAAAAATGTCTTTATACATTGCCAAATGTACCCTGGGGAAACATAATCACCAGAACAGAGTCACTGTTCTAAATATATAGCTGTACCATTTTCCCCAACCACATGAAAACTTATCTAAATTCAGTTTCCTGGGAAGGTCTCATAAGTTCCCAAGTTCTTGTCATTAGTATAGAATAACTACAGTGTTCTCACTCCAACTATTGACCATTGACTATCAGCAAGAGATCTACTATTTTGACTGCTTTTYAACTGGCTGTTAAAAGTTTCTGGCTCCTGTCTTTCTCACAGCTACTCTACTCCTCACGTCCGTGCCAAAGAAAGAAACGGAAAGCAGGAAAACACAAGGGAAATTGAGCGTTCATTGCTCAGCACCATTTGGTAGGGCTCACACAGAGAGGAGCTAGTGGGCCTAAGTCTGTGTGTCCAGAACAACAGCTCAGGAGCTCCTCAGAGGGCCCAGTCTGAGTCAGGGATTTCAGAGATCTCCTGAGAGCATGTTCCTTGAATGCACTTTCATTCATCTCATCTTCCTAAGAGACTCTGACAAAAAATGCTGCGACTCCTCGTATCAGGCAGTTGGAGGTTTGCCAAGGGGCAGGGAAGCCTTCACCACTCACTGGTTTATGATGAAAGACCCATCATCACAGGAAAATCTAGTTACGACTGAGATCTCGAAGAGTCCCATGAACGCATTATCGCACTGAGACCACAGACCGTGGAGCCAGGCCTTGGGCACAGAACAGGCCCTGGCTGGGAGCCTGTGGAGGGAAGCCGCACCTTTTGTTGACAGCATCCAGCTGGACCTGGAGTGAGGCCTTGTGCTGCTCCACCACGTCCTTGAGGGGGACCGTGGGGTGCTCTGCATGCTCGCCCTCAGTGCACTCCCGACACATGGCGGTCTCACAGGACTGGCAGTAAAATTCCATCACCTGTGGGTTACACGAGAAAAGTTCCAAGTTCATGGCCGCTGGTTGAGTGCTCACTCTGCAGGAATCAGTTCTCTCACTTAATTCTCCCACCCACCCCACACTGTTGGCAGTATTATGTCCAGCTTCATGGCAGAGAAGGAAGAATAAACTTGTTTTTGAGCATTGAGGATTGAACCAAGAACAGTTTAACACTGAGCTATATCCCCAGTTCTTTTTTAAAACTTTGTTTTGAGACAGGGTCTTGTTAAGTTACTTTGGGCCTTGCTAAACTGCTGAGGCTAGCCTCAAACTTGTGATCCTCCTGCCTCAGCCTCCTGAGTCGCTGAGATTACAAGTGTGTGCCACTGTGTCTGGCTGGAAGAATAAACTCTCATGTGACATGTCACAAACAAGGTGGGTCCAACTCCAAAGCTACTGCTGTGGCCATAAAATCAGATTTTTGGTAGCTATTTTCTAAGGCAGAACTGTGTAGGATTATTGTTTTAAAGCCTTTTGGTCTTGGACTTCTTTATGCTCTTTATAAATTATTGAGAACTCCTTAGGAACCTTTGGGTATATGGATTATGTCTACAGATATTTGTGAGGTTAAAAATTAAAACTGAAGCCAGGCATGGTGGCACATGATTATAATCCCAGTGACCCCAGAAAGACTGCAAGATAAAAGCGCAGCCTCAGCAATTTATTGAGACCCCTTAATTGCATGCCTGTAATCCCAGCAGCTTGGGAGGCTGAGGTAGGAGGATTGCAAGTTCAAAGCCAGCCTCAGCAAAATCGAGGCCCAAAGCAACTCAGTGAGACCCTGTCTCTGCATAAAATTTAAAAAAGGGCTGGGGATGTGGCTCAATGGTCAAGTGCCCCTGAGTTCAATTCCTATTTCCAAAAATAAATAAATAAATAAAGCTGAGAAAAATTTTAAAGTATTAATTTATTAGAAGGTCATTTAAACATTGATGTGAATGATATAGTTTGTGAAAAACAACTACATTTGCAAACAAACAAACAAACAAACAAACAAACCCTGAGAATAGCATTGTTGCCCAGTTTTTGAAATCTCTGCAGCACCTGGCTTAACAGAAGACTGTTGGCTTCTCATGATTGCTTTTGCATTCATTTTGTTGGGACAGCACATAGCCTACAGCCTTTCCAAAGTACCACAGTACATTCTTGAGAGAATGAGAGCAAAAAAAGATATCTTCATATTGCTGTATTGTGAATACAGCATTGACCTTGTGGACCTCTGGAAAGGGTCTTGGAACCCACAAAGGTTCCYGAAGCGCACTTTGAAAATTGCTACTGTTTGGGTCAGAGATAAGCTGAACTGAGCGGTCTGCATTTGGCTCTACCATTTACTTTGCTGAATGACCTTAAGCAAAAAATTACTTAACCTGACTGTGTCTCAACTTCTACCTGTGTCAGTGTAGACAATAATAGTAACCTACTTTACTGGGCTGCTATTAGGATTATGTAGGTTAGTTTGCACAAAGAACTCAAGTGATGCCTGGCCCTGGTTCAAAATATGTTCTTAATAAGTAAGAGCAGCTATGATGATGATAATGATGATGTTATCTGGTTCCCTGAAAATAAAACCACTGTATCGTGGTCATCCTGGAAGTTAGTTTCCTTGTGGAGGTAGTCCCTGGGCTCTCAGTGAGAAGTAACGTCCTCTAATTTATTAAGTTTTTTTTTTTTTCCTGTACCAAGGATTGAATCCAGGGGTCCTTAACCACTAAGCCACAACCGCAAGCCATTTTTATGTTTTATTTAGAGACAGTCTTACATAGGGCCTCACTAAATTGCTGCAGCTAACTTTGAATTTGTGATCCTCCCGTCTCAGCCTCCCAAGCTGCTGGGATTATAGGAGTGTGCCATGGTACCCAGCTATTAACTCTTTCTAAGGTTTTAAGTTTCTAAGTACAGAAACTCACCTACCCTGAGCCTAGTTCAAGCCTTGCCTGTAGTAGGAACTCAGTACTGCTSAGTGAGTAAATGAGAGGGTACTCCTAACCACAATTTGGATGGTAGGTATTAGAGCAAACAAAAGACACCCTCTGACTTATTAAGACTCACTATTTTACACAGTACTTTCTGGAGTGGATTCTCCCAGGAATAAAACAGTCTGCTGAAACCCCAAGGAACCAGATTCAGATCAAGGTCCTTCAAACCATCTTCCAGATTTTAGATTTCATGTTTCATCACAGTTTGAAGTGGGCACATAGTAAGTTAGGRGAACACACTTTTGTGTGTGTATTATATATTTTTTGTGGGTATTAATTCCATATACTTTACTCCTTTGCAGACCATTTAGGAATGCACTTGGATTATCAATTGGAAGTTTCCATTCTTGACCCTGCTTCTGCTCAAAAAACATTTCTCTACACATTCCATTGATGAGTATTGGGGAATTCAAATGGAAATCCAAATCTCCTAAAGGAAGATCATGATGCTAGGCACTCAAACCTTATTTTGGAGTAGGTCTGATTCAATCTAGCAGAAGGTCCAGCACTTAGAAATGGTTTAAAATTTATTTGCCAAAGGACTGGATGAGCTAAGGAACCCTCCCAAGGGGTCATTCCTTCTCTGGGGACAGGCCTGCTCTCTGAGGGAAGACGCTTCAGTCACTTTCTGGCATTTTACATTCTATTCTTGGACAGTCCTTCACRTGACCAGTAGATGGAGTGATCTAAAACTATATGAAGTCATATAAACTTCCTATCACAAAGTTTTTAGAAATTATTTTGGGRATACAAACATGGTAAGAATTTATAAACCCTGTATCATATGTATTGTATTCATTATTTGAAAATATTTTTAATCTGAGGGGTTTCTCCCCCCCCCAAAAAAAAAAGGGCTAGCGGAAGAGAGCATGAAAGAACATTCCTCACTCTATTCTGAGATTTTCCTTGGCATATCATCCTCCTCAGGGATCTGTGAAGTTTACATAGTTCTCCTGAAGGCTGAGGATCCTTGTCACTCCATGGCTTYAGCCGAAGGTGATTCTTACATCGGAACCTATTCTTTCTAGACTATTAACTGGATTCCTGTTTACTGATATTTCACCTTCACAGTCAGGGCTCAGGAAACTCTTCTAAAGCAGACCCAGTGCCGGGCATGCGTAGCACAGGAGAGTCCAAGAGTAGAATGTGAAAAGACTTCTTCCCAAGTGAGTCAGGGTGTTGGGGCTAATAAAAGTGTCCAGGGGAACAGGACACATGAACAGGGCTATTCAATCACTGGCACACTTCTCACATCACTCCAGGCTGAGACTGAGAGAAAGGGACATGCCCTCACGTCTGGAATGGGTCTGAGCCAAAGGTGAATTTTATTTGGCAATCAGTGTCCATATTGTGTTGAGAAGTCACAAAGGCATATTAGTGACATTTTCCTGTTGTGAGTTAAGTTCTCCAGCAGTCTGGGAGTGAGATGACAAAGGATACAAATAAAAAGAGAGAGAGAGAGAGAGAGAGAGAGAGAGATACAAAGTAACATAGAGTCACTAAAAATACAAAAAGTCCTCAAGGCAAGAGACCATTATTTACAAGAAAGACTAAGCATCTGTTGCCATCACTAATCCTCTTTCAAATTAATAACTGAAAACAGTTGATGGCCGTGGAGTGACATCACTGAAAACGGCAGAGTAAAGAAATCTGTCGTATCACTAGCTGATTAGACTAAACCAGGGGAACGTGTTAGTGGCCACACATGACAAAAATCAAAGACTTTACAAAATTGATTCTGAAAAGTCGACAAACCAACAAGAAGACAAACAAACAAAACAAAACAAAACAAAACAAAAAAACACAATAAGGAACAACAAAATATCATAGGGAGGAGGGAGAGTCTGCATTCTGGAGTTGAAACATTATAATATTTTAAATGTCCAGTTTCCATTAAAAAAATAAAGCTTAAAAAAAGGGAAAACAAACAAACAAAATGAAATGAAAAAAGAGAAAAGGAAAGAAAAGAAAGTATGGTCCACATCAAAATACAAGAAATTAACAGAAACTGTCCCTCAGAGAGTCCAGATTGAATTTCCTAGATTATTTATTTATTTTGGTACCAGGGGTTGAACCCAGGGATGCTCAACCACTAAGCCAAATCTCCAGCCCCTTTTTATTTTTTATTTAGAGAGAGGGTCTTGCTAAGTTGCTGAGGCTGGTTTTGAACTCATGATCCTCCTGCCTCAGCCTCCCAAGCCACTGGGATTACAGGCCTGGGCCATCGTGCCTGGCTGAATTTACTAGATTTTAAATAAACTCCCTTTTATATATCCTCATGGAATTAAAAAAGAAGAAGAAAGAAAAAAAGRAAAGAAAAAGAGAACTAATGGAAACTATGAGACCATGTCTCATCAAATGTAGAATATTAATAAAGGGAGAGAGATTATAAAAAGGAACCAAGTAGAAATATTTTAGAATCAAAAGTAATTATATTAAAATGTGGTGGTGCATGCCTGTAATCCCAGCAGCAGCTTGGGAGGCTGAGGCAGGAGGATTGTGAGTTCAAAACCAGTCTCAGCAATAGCAAGGTGCTAAGCAACTCAGTGAGACCCTGTCTGTAAATAAAATACAAAGAAAAAACAGCTGGGAATGCAGTTTAGTGGTTGAGTGCCCCTGAGTTCAATCTCTAGTACTACCCCCAACAACAACAAAGATTGAAAAAGGGCTGGGAATGTAGCTCAGTGACTAAGTGTCCCTTGGTACAATCCCCAGTATCTGGAAAAAAAAAAAAAAAAAAAGTAAAATTCACTAGAGGAGTTCCACCGCAGTGAGTAAGCAGAAGAAAGAATCGGTGAAGGTGAAGACAGGACCATAGAGATTACACAGAAATAAAAACAAGGAATGAAGAAAAAGTCACAGAACCTGAGAGACCTGTAGGGCACCCTCACACGTATCAACAATGTACCATGAGAGTCCCAGAAGGAGACAGAGAAAGGGGATAAAATAATGGCAGGAAACTTGCCAGATTTTGAAGAAACGTGCAAATCTATAAATCTGCAAAGT